GATAGTATTGTTAGAAAACTTTAAAGATTCACTGAGAAAACTCTTGGACATAGTCAACAATTCAGCAAATTAGGAGGATACAAGATCAACATACAAAAATCAGTTGGATTCTACTACAGTGACAAAGAGAATATAGAAACAAAGCTAAGAAAAATAACATCAATTACAATAGCTAAAATATTTAGAAACAAATCTAACTAGAGCCACAAAAGACTTACACAAAGAACATTACAAAACATTACTACAAGAAACAAAAAGAGACCTACAGAAATGGAGGAATATACCATGTTCATGGATAAGAAGACTCAATATCATGAAAATGACAACTCTTCTAAAGGCAGTCTGCAAGTTCAACGCAATCTCAATAGAGTTACCAATTCCATTCTTCAACAATGTGGAAAAGGCAATTTCCAATTATATCTGGAATGGAAAGAGGTCTTCAAATAAGGAAAATGCTATTGAAAAATAGAAGCAAGGTAGGAGACATCACATTCCCTGATCACAAATTCTCCTATACAGCTTTGGTGGTCAAAGCAGCATGATACTGGTACAGCAACAGAGACATAAATAAATGAAATAGAAGTGAGAACCCAGAAATCAACTCATCTGCCTATGGGCAACTGATTTTTTTTTAAAAAAATCTATACTGGTTTGTTTACAAAGTTCAAATACATTGTTTTTCACACTGGATCTTTCCCATTTCCTTCACTTCTCCCACCACTAAATTGTATGATCCTATGACTAATCCCCCTCCCCATCCATCCTTACTCTTCTGCTTCCACCCTCCCCCTGCCCTTAGATCCTCATACTCATTCTACAATAATGGTTTATACGGTATTTGTCCTTATGGGACTGAGTTAGTTCACTCAGCATGTTGTTCTCCAGTCCCTCCCAAATTAGAGAGTAATTTACAAAATCATTACTCCTGCATGCTGAGCAGTATTCCACTATGTGAATGTACCATAATTTCTCAATCCATTCGATTGTAGTTGGACATTTGGGCTGTTTTTATGGTCTTGCAACTGTTCTGAACATTGATATACAAGTTTCCACTTGTGCCTCGGTTCTCATTTTCTTGGGGTATATTCTAAGAAGTGGAATAGCTGAGTCATGGAATTTCTATGTTCAGCGTTTTAAGGAAGTGCCAAACTGCCTTCCAGAATGGTTGTATCATTTTATAATCCTACCAACAATGTGTAAGAGTTCCTATCTCCCCACGTCCTCGCCAACATTTATTACTTGATGCCCTGTTAAACTTTGCCGCTGCTATTGGAGTAAGATGGTATCTCCATGTGGTTTTGATTTGCATCTTTCTTATTGCCAGTGATCTTCAGCATTTCTTCATTTGTCTGTTGGCCATTCTAATATCTTCCTCTGTGTAAATTCTTTCCATGTCTTTCCCCCATTTTTTAATTGGGTTATCAGTCTTTTTCTTCTGGAGGCCCAGGCTTATTCTGTAAGCTTTCATTATGAGATGGTATTGCCAAATGTTTGTTCTCTGTCAGTAGGTTTTCTTTTGACCCTGTTGGAAAAAGTTTTTGACACACACAGGGATTTAATATTTAGAATGTCTCATTCATCAATTTTGTCCTCTTCAGATTATACATTTCTGACTGTATTTGGCAGTCTCTTATAATGTAGACTAGGCCTTCTAATGATCCCAGTTTGTCTCTTATGAACTTTATGGCTTTGGGCTTTACTCCCAGGTCTATGATCCACCTTGAGTTGATTTTTGTGTTTGGTGTGGGATGTAGATCCTGTTTCAGCTTTCTGCAGGTAGCAGTATAATTCTACCAGCACCATTTGTTGAAAAGATTGTCATTTCCCCATTTGATAGGTTTTATTTCCTTGTCAAATATCAGTTGACCCATAGATAGCTGGGTCTATTTCTGAGTTCTTAATTCTGTTCCATTATTTGACTGTATATGCAAAACCAAGAGCCAACATCATTGTAAATGGAGAAAGACTGATAGTAGACGAATCAAGGATGCCCAGTGTCACCATCTCTATTCTATATAGTATTGGAAGTGCTTGCTAGGGCAATACGGCAAGAGAAGGAAATAAAAGGCATCCAGATAGGCAAAGAGATGGTTAAACTGTCACTATATGCAGATAAGATGATAGTATACACAGAAAACCCCAAAGACTGAACAACAACAACAAAAACAACAAAAACCTGTTAGAGTTAGTAGGCCAGTTTAGTAGAGTGACAGGATACAAGATCAATAACCAAAAATCAGTGGGATTCCTGGACAGCAAGAAAGAGAACTCAGAGAAGGAAACCAAGAAAGCAATACCATTTATAATAGCCAACCACAAATTGAGATACTAGGGAGTGAATCTAACTAAAGATATAAAAAAATCTATGTAAAGAAAACTATAGAACATTTCTGCAAGACACAATAAAAGACTTAAATGGGAAAATGTGCCCTGTTCATGGATAGGAAGACCCAATATTGTGAAAATGACAAAACTACTGAAAGCAAACTACATGTTCAATACAATCCCAATACAGAGACAAATTAATTTTTCAAGGAGATTGAAAGGCAACATGTCAAGATTTTTAGAGAGGTAAGAGATCCCGAATAAGCAAAACACTTCTGTGAAACAAAAATGAAGTAGGAGGCATAGCACTCTCTGACCTCAAAACCTACTATACAATGGTAGAAACCAAAACAGCATTGTTCTAGACAACTGATTTTTAACAAGGAGATGAAATTAGTTAAGTGGAAAATGGCAGCCTCTTTAACAAATTGTGTTGACAAAAGTAGAAAATCATCTGTAGAAAACTTAAGCAAGACTCAAACCTCACATCATACTCAAAAAACAACTCAACCTAGATCAGGGACCTAGGATTAAAACCAAAGACTATAAATTTCATCAGAGAAATGCTAGGAACAACTCTGGAAGTCCTAATACACAGCATGAACAGTCTTCGTAGCATAATAAGAAAACTACAGCCAAGACAGAATTAAACAGATGAATGAGACCTTCTAAGAATGAAAACCCTATGCACATCAAAAACCTTCCTCAACAGAATAAAAAGTAAAACCACAGACAGGGGAAAAAATATTTGGCAATGATATGTCTGATAAGGGACTCATATCTAAAATTTATAGAATACTCCAGTATGTCAACAAGAAAAAGGCAAACAACCTAATTACAAAATGGGCACAGGATATGAATAGACACTTTGCCAAAGAGACATTCAAATGACAAACAAATACATGAAGAAATGTTTGAGATCCTTATCTGTCAGAGAGATGCGAATCACGATTATGAGATATCATCTCAATAGTTAAATTGTTGCTATATACAGATGATATGATAGTATACACAGAAAACCCCAAAAACTCAACCAAAACCCCCCCAAAAGCTAAAGTTAGTAAGCCAGTTTAGTAGAGTGACAGGATATAAGATCAGTATCCAAAAATCAGTAGTAGTATTCTACATTAACAAAGAGAACTCAGAGAAAGAAATCAAGAAAGCAATACCATTTACAATAGCCAACCACAAATTGAGATACTTGGGAGTGAACCTAATTAGAGATACAAAATCTCTATTAAAAAAAAAAAACAAAAAAACCTACAAAGCATTTCTGCAAGATACAATAAAAGACCTAAATAAATGGAAAAAAGGTGCCCTGTTCATGGATAGGAAGACTCTATATCATGAAAATGACAATCCTATCAAGTGAAATCTACATGTTCAACACAATCCCAATCCAGATATCAAATTCCTTTTTCAAGGAGATCGAAATGGGAATTGTCACATTAGAGAGACAAGAGAACTCAAATAAGCAAAGTACTTCTGAAAAACAAAAATGAGGTTGGAGGCATAGCACACTCCCTGACCTTAAAACCTGCTACATAGCAGTGGTAACCAAAACAGCATGATACCGATACAATGACAGGCACACAGACCAATGGAACAGAATTAGGAACCCAGAAATAGACCCAGCTATTTATGGTCAACTGGTATTTGACAAGGACATCAAAGCTATCTAATGGGGAAATCACAACCTCTTCAACAAGTGGTGCTGGTAAAACTGGACTTCTACCTGCAAAAAGCTGAAACAGGATCCTCTCACACCAAACACAGAAATATACTCAAGGTATATCAGAGACCTGGGAATAAACCCCAAACCCATATAGTTAGTTTATAAAAGACAAACTGGGATCAAGATTAGAAGACCTACTCTGTGATATAAAAAAAAACTGCTAAATGCACAATCTGAAGAGGATAAAACTGATAAATGGGATCTTTTAAAGATTAAATCCCTGTACACATAAAAAACCTTTTCCAACAAGGTCAAAACCCCACCCCCCCCCAAAAAAAAAACAACAAAAAAACAAGAACAAAAGAAAAGAATTTTCACAGAGGGAGATATTCAAATGGCCAGCAGACACATAAGGAAATGCTGAAAATCACTGGCAATCAGAGAGATGGAAACCAAAACCAAAATGACATACCATCTTACTCCAGTAGCAGTGGCAAAGTTTAACAGGGCATCAAGTAATAAATGTTAGAGAGGATGTGGTGAGACGGAAACTCTTACACATTGTCGGTGGGAAGGTAAAATGATACAACCATTCTAGAAGGCAGTTTGGCACTTCCTCAGAAAGCTGAACATAGATTTCAGTGCTTAGAATATACCTTAGGAAAATGAGAACTGAAGCACAAACGGAGACTTGTACACCAATGTTCTTAGCAGCGTTATTCACCATCACAACAACATGGAAGCAGCCCAGATGTCCAAACACAAACTAATGGATTGAGAAATTATGGTACATTCATACAGTTTAATATTACATAAAAGACAGGAACAATAATTTTTGTAAATTACCACCTAATTTGGGAGAGACTGAAGAACATTACGCTGAGTGAACTAACTCAGCCCCTCAAGGACAAAAATTTATAAAACTATTATTATAGAATGAGTATGAAAATCCAAGAGGTGAAGGAGAATGGAAGCAGAAGGATGAAGATGTGCTGAGTGGATGATAACAGTTTTCATCGACGGTTACTATGAGGAACCAATGGATGTCATGGCACTGTTTGGTCTGAGGGGCATTCAGCATACTCCCATCAGCATCAAGAATGCCCGTGTATCTCAGCACTACAAGACCAGCCTCACTGCCACTTTCAACCTGTTTCCAGAAGCCAAATTTGCTGTGGTTCTGGAAGAGGACTTGGACATTGCTGTAGATTTCTTCAGCTTCTTAAGCCAATCCATCCACCTGCTGGAGGAGGATAACAGCCTGTATTGCATCTCAACCTGGAATGACCAGGGATATGAACACATGGCTGAAGACCCAGCACTGTTGTACCGAGTGGAGACCATGCCTGGATTGGGCTGGGTACTCAGGAAATCCTTGTATAGAGAGGAACTTGGACCTAAGTGGCCCACACCAGAAAAGCTCTGGGACTGGGACATGTGGATGCGGATGCCTGAACAACGCCGGGGCCGAGAGTGCATCATCCCTGACATTTCCCGATCTTACCACTTTGGCATTGTTGACCTCAATATGAATGGCGACTTCCATGAAGCCTATTTCAAGAAGCACAAGTTCAACACAGTTCCAGGTGTCCAGCTTAGGAATGTGGACAGCTTGAAGAAGGAAGCTTATGAAGTGGAAATTTCACAGACTACTCAGTGAGGCTGAGGTCCTGGATCACAGCAAAAACCCTTGGGAAGACTCTTTATTGCCAGATACGGAAGGTCACACCTATGTGCCCTTATTTTATGGAGAAAGATGATGACTTCACCACCTGGACCCAGCTTGCCAAGTGCCTCCATATCTGGAACCTAGATGTACGGGGAAACCATCGGGGACTGGGGAGGTTATTTCGGAAGAAGAACCACTTCCTTGTGGTGGGAGTCCCAGCCTCCCCCTACTCAGTGAAGAAACCACCATCAGTCACCCCCATATTCCTGGAGCCACCCCCAAAGGAAGAGGGGGCCCCAGGAGCTGCAGAGCAAACATGAGACCTCCTCCAAGACCCTGCAGGGCTGGGTACTATGTACTCCCAGGCAGGCTAGCCCTTTGCGCCATCCTGTAGGATTTTGTAGGCACAGGCAGGGGTTGGGACTGGGGTTTTGTTTTTGTTTTTGTTTTTTGTTTTTGTTTGTTTTTTTTTTTCAGGAGCATGTTTATTGTGTTTGAGATGATACATCAGGTGCTCTCTGAGCTACAAAGGGTAAAAGGAAATCCTCTCATTACAAACTGACAAAGGTCAAAGGTAAAACATTTTCACAACAGCATGTACCACATACTCAGAAATAGATCTGGGTTTAATAAAAATGATGTAATTTCCTAGTCATCTACAGCTACTTTTATAACTTCATACAGATAATGAATTAGGCTAAAATGCACTATAATATTTGGTAGACTTCAGTACCAGTATCCTTAGTACATCACAAAATACATTTTGATATCCCAAAGAAGCAAGACTTGCAAGTAGGCGTTTTAAACATAACTAATCTACAGCTACAAAGTTCTACTCTTGATAGCATTTACCTTTTTAGGGACTCTCCCAGTCTCCAAAGGTTAAAAGCAGAGAATAGAATCAGTATAACATATACACA